AGTGTCACCTCCTGGTTCTGAGACCAAGGGGCCAGAACCAGGAGCAGATGGAACAAGCTGGATGCACACACCAACAAGCCACGTGCCAACGGGCCTGAGGAGCCAGCGTTGGCACCAGCTCTGCAGTTCTGAGGGTCTCCCTCTGCAGCTGTAAGAGCCAGATGCTCCTACTGGTACAGGGGCTTCCCCAGGGGTGGGCTGCTCAGCTTGTGGCCTGAGCAGGGTGCTCCCCACGCGTCCCAGCTCTGCACCCTGCTCCTGCCCTCACCTCACTGCTTCCCAGCACTGCAGGGACCAGCCAGCTCCTTTTCCTTCCAGAGATCATACCCAGGCAGCCAGGGAAGCTCAGGCAGCAGTGAGGCCCCCGGGGGCTCCCACCTCTGCTTTCCCACATCAATACCTCCATCTCATTACCATGCATTAAGCCACTATAATGAGTTTTGTCATTTCACAGGTAATTCTTGTTTGCTTTGTCAGGCATAAGGGAATTAATACTTTTAGGTAGGTGACTTTTGGGCTTCTTCCCTGTGGCTGCTTCATGTCTCAGATGTAATTTGTGTAGCCCTATGACATGACACACTTCAGCAGCTCGGGGTTTCAGAGAAGTGGCATGAGGAGCTGGTTATGGACCTGTTGGAGCAGGACCAGAGGAGGCCACGAAGATGATCTGAGGGCTGGAAACTCTTTTTTTGGGAGGCCAGGCTGAGAGAGTTCGGATTGTTCAGCCTGGAGAAGAGAAGGCTCCAAGGGAGACCTTATTACAATTTTCCAGTACCTGAAGGGGGCCTACAAGAAAGCTGTGGAGGGACCTTTGACAAGGGCTTGTAGTGACAGGATGAGGGGTGATGGCTTCGCCACGAAGATGATCTGAGGGCTGGAAACTCTTTTTTTGGGAGGCCAGGCTGAGAGAGTTCGGATTGTTCAGCCTGGAGAAGAGAAGGCTCCAAGGGAGACCTTATTACAATTTTCCAGTACCTGAAGGGGGCCTACAAGAAAGCTGTGGAGGGACCTTTGACAAGGGCTTGTAGTGACAGGATGAGGGGTGATGGCTTCAAACTGGAAGAGGGGAGATTTAGAGTAGAAATTAAAAAGAAGTTCTTCATTGAGAGGGTGGTGAGACCCTGGCCCAGGTTGCCCAGGGAAGCTGTGGATGCTCCATCCCTGGAGGTGTTCAAGGCCAGGCTGGATGGGGCTTGGAGCAACGTGGGCTAGTGGGAGGTGTCCCTGCCCATGGCAAGGGGTTGGAACTGGATGATCTTTAAGGTCCCTTCCAACCCAACCCACTCTGGGATTCTGTGATTCAGACACTCTGATCCAGCACAGTGCAGCTGTCCTGCTCCCCACAGCACCCCTCCTGCAGTTTTAGAAGCCACACACGTCTGCAATTTTAAGATGCTTTTACTAACTTCCCCCCCCCAATTTCCAGTCCCTTCTTCATGTGATGAAATCTTGTATTTTGGGTTTCTCATCAGGACTGACACCGTGATGACACCCCATGAGGTCACAACACCCTCCCTGTCTCAGGGTGTCACTCCTGGGAGCTGCCCAGGGAGAGCAGGTCCTGCAAGCTCCCTGCCTCCCAGAGCAGCAGTTTTCACTGGCTGTATTCTGCAACTGCTTTTATGGTGCATTTTAATGGCTATTTTATGAGGAGATGATCCCTGGAGTCTGGGAATCGTGGGGTTGGATTTACATTAAGTAACAACTCCACATTTATAGACCCAATAGGCTTGTTTCAGATGCTGAACAGAGACTTGGGGTTTCACATCTAACTCCCACTGTTCATTATTTGACAATTCATCCTACAAAGAAAGAATACATCCCAATCCAAGACTAACTGAAGAAAATGGGAGTCCCTCTATTCTATTAGCAGAAAACACAGCAGGGTGTGAACTCTCAGTATGGGAGTTTGGCCTCTTAGTGTATCTGCAGGATAATGCACATGCTCCCCCTGAGCTGCCTACGGGAGCTGCCTCTTCTCAGGTCTGCATTAAAACAATGACTGAGCTGTCCAAGGCTCATTTGGGAGCTGGCTTCCCACCATCCAGAGGTAAAAAGCAGGAGGAACATCCAATCTGTATTTATCTTCCTTCTTCCTGCAAGTGGTAGAGGTTCAGCGACCCCCAGAACCTTTGTAGTCACACGTGTCCAGCGTGTCTGCCAGGAACAGTTCAACCAAAAAAGAATGGCCCTTAAATCTAAGGCACTGTTGGAGCAGTGAGACAGCAGGACAGCACATTTCTTGCTGACTACAGCAAGCCTCAGGTGAGCCACCAACCCAAGCAGAAAACAGAAGGAACAAGTTCAGTGTCCTGAAATGCTCTGCTTGGTCTTCCTTGCTCCTGCAGGAAAAGAGAATTTTTCTTCTTCACAGAGAAAGGAACTGGCCAATATTATAAACAGGAAGGTGATTAAGGTGCTGGAAATGGCTAATTGAATCCTGAGTACTAAAACCTCTGCTGCAGAACTTCCTACATCCCATGTGTTTGTGCTGCAACTGCCCCACCCCGCTCCAATGCCACATGCACCTCTGGCAACAGGCTGCAGGTGAAGTTTGCCAACAGTTAGATATAGTAAAGCCCTATTATACTGGTTTAGAGAATGCTTCAGGACATGGTCAGAGGGCCCTGGTTCTGACTGCTCTGAAAGCTCCCCCATGCAGATGAGCAGGGAGTGCCCTCGAGGGAAGCAGCTGCCCGGGGAGCACTGAGCTGGCAGATGGCTTGCTGTGAAAAACGTTCACTGATGTCCTCACGTCAACTCCCAGGGTCAATGGGATGCTCGAGGTGAGAAACCCAGCACTAGGAAGCCAGGGAATTCCAGAAGCTTGAAGGTGCCTATGGATGGTCACTCCCAAGGGACAGTATCCACTTGCTTTTGCACTAATACAGACACTTAGCAGAAACAAGACCTCTGACAAGCTAAGAGCTGTAACACAATTTCCTATTGAAAAACTGTTTCATGAGCTGCTTTTTAAGCCAAGGATGACCCTACAGAGATGCTACCATGACACAGCACTAACCACATGGCAGGGAAGCTGACTAAGCAGAACCAAAGCACATGGGTCAGTGTCCAGGCTTCATGTGGGGAGCACCCTGCAGACCTGTGATGTGCTGCAGCTCTGCTTGAGCCTGTGCACTAGAGACCCACGGTCTAACTCGTGGCACAACTGGGGGACAACTCACACACGTTAAGGTCTGGGTGAAAGTCATGTTCACAAAACCTTTCCACCCCCAAAGCCCTCAGCAGGA